AAGTTAAGATAAGAGTGTGTCATATCTCTTAACACCAACTTGGTTTATCCCTTCACTTTATTTCTGCCCATTTCATTTCTCACCATTTCTTCTTCTTAAACTTATTTTCTTCTCTCATTAAAAACACCAAAAAGAACTCTTTCCCACACTCCATATTTCATCCCTTCAATTCCATCATCCATTTCCTTGCGCAAATCCGCCACAAAATAGCTACTCGATAAGACCCCGGGTCTCGGGTACAACACGCAGAGCTGAGAAGTCCAACCATGAGGATAAGTGGACTATGTCAGAAGATGACACTCTCTGCCTAATGGCCAAAGATGATGCTGATCAAGAGGTAACTTCACAAACCTCCTGCTCATCTTCTTATGAAAGTATACCAACTTCTGAAAATCTTTTTGACCAGTTCAAAAAGATGATGGAAGATTTTGAGGAAATAATTCTCAAACACTCATCCTTAACAGAGGAGAACAAACTATTGAGTGAAGAGAATCTCAAGTTGACTGAAGGTCGGAAAAGTCAACTGGATGAGATCACTCAACTCAAGACTGAAAATGAATCTCTCTCTGAAAAGGTGAAATCCCTCAACAAAGAGCTAGGGATACTTAAGTCCAAAGAAGCAGTGGATAAGCTTCTTGAAACGACCAAACATAAGGGTCGTGAAGGACTTGGGTTTGACCCTTCTAGTTCCAAAAGGAAAGGGAGAACAACTTTCATCCTTCCTAAACCTACTGCTAAACCAAATAAGCAGAAAGGAAAGAAAAAGGAGAAACCAACCTAAGTTCCCAAAAAGGTAGTCCCTCCTAAGAACTATAGGAAGCTGGACAGACCTCAAAAAGGAAATAATTTCAGAAGAAAAACTTCTAACCCCCACTATACACGAGGCTATACTCATTATGATAGGAGTTTTCCGAGAAATTCTGAGTGGAGAACTATGCCAAGATATAGTCATCCTCCACCCCAGAAACTATTTGTGCCACCTAAGTATGCTTATAACCGTCACAGGTCACACTATGCACAACCTAGACAAAACTATAGGTCTTATCAACCTAGGTTTGCTAGGAGGAAACAGGAAATTGCACCTCCTGCACGTAGGAAGTTTTATGCCTACAACTATGATTACAATCCCAACAAGTTTAGGGCTGCAAGGAAAATTCATGGTTCCACTAGAGCTAACGTCTTCTTCACGGTCACTTCCTTGTAGCTCGTTGAGTTTCATCTTTGTAAGTTTGGCTACCTCTTTAGCCAAGTACTCTACTTGGGCTTTCAAGGCTGTATTGGAGGCAATGAGCTCTTCATAGGACATGTTTTGGGATTCATTTGACATGGTTGAAGTGGAGAGAGGGAGGGAGATAGTGTAGATTCTGGCCGTGGTTTTGGAGGGTGACAAAGGACAGAGTTTGAGCTTGAACAACTTACTTTTAGAGATGTGTGAATGGTCCATGACGGATGGGCAACACAAAGCTCTGATACCAAATGTTAGGCTCAACTTCCAGGGGAAATGGATGAGAGGGCAAGGCTGTTTTGTGAGTGCTTTGGGCTGGGACGTATGGAATAAGAGAGGGGGAAGTTTAAGGTGATTTCTGGTTAAGGAAGGAGAGGGGAGAATGAGAATGGGATGGTTTCTGGAGGTGGTGGCCGAAAATAGGGTAGAGGGGGAAGTATATATTTTAGTTGTTTTTCTAGAGGGGGGAATAAACCAAGTAGGTGTTAAGAGATATTACACACTCTTATCT